ACACCAGAACGCTCGGACACACACCACGGTTCGCAATATACATATGATTTTCAACACACCTCTATTCATGATAGTGTGTAACACGCAGCACTATCAACACGCCTCTATTCATGATAGTGTGTAATACGCAGCATTATCAACACACCTCTATTCATGATAGTGTGTAATATGCAGCATTATCAACAGACCTCTATTCATGATAGTGTGTAATATGCAGCATTATCAACACACCTCTATTCATGATAGTGTGTAATATGCAGCATTATCAACACACCTCTATTAATGATAATGTGTAATACGCAGCATTATCAACACACCTCTATTAATGATAATGTGTAATATGCAGCATTATCAACACACCTCTATTCATGATAGTGTGTAATATCCAGCATTATCAACACACCTCTATTCATGATAGTGTGTGATACGCAGCGTTATCAACACACCTCTATTAATGATAATGTGTCATACGCAGCATTATCAACACATCTCAGCAAAATTCTTTAGAAGTGCTATGTCATACTGTTATATATTTAATGTTGTTCTTTAATATAAATACATATTCCTGTTTTTTTGTAATTGTGTATTTCAAATTTTTTTTCAATAAGCACTATGGTGTAGTGTTTCTATAAGGTAAACAGTTGATTGATCCATAGATGTCTTGGAAGACAAGGACAAAACCTGTTCTGAAGACAATGTGGAGTAAAACAAAGATAACAGCTTCGTGAGGACAATGTGGAGCAAAACAAGGATAACAGCTTCGTGAAAACAATGTGGAGCAAAGCAAGAATAACAACGTTGTGAAAAGAATGTGTATCAAAGAAAGGATAACACCTGTTTGAAAACAATGTGAAGCAAAGCAAGGATAACAAATTTGTGAAAACAATGTGGAGCAAAGCAAGAATAACAACGTTGTGAAAAGAATGTGTATCAAAGAAAGGATAACACCTGTTTGAAAACAATGTGGAGCAAAGCAAGGATAACAAATTTGTGAAAACAATGTGGAGCAAAGCAAGGATAACACTTTTGAAGAAAGAATGTGAAGCTTGTTAGACTATCCAAGTATTTTCGTTAGGATGAATAGAAGATGATTCGGAGTAAATCAGGATCCAGAGAAACTTTGTGAATAATTGAAAAAAAAAAAGTCAGTTATTAACTCTTTTCTACCTTACCGGTATTGTTCAGATTTCATGATATCAGGTTATTGTTCGTAATTAAGCACAAAGCTACACAATGGGCTATATGTGCTCTGCAAACTACGGGTATCGAAACCCAGCTTCTAGAGTTGTAAGTCCGCAGACATACCGCTGTGCCACTGGGGAGCATTTAAACAAAAATGCTTTCAATATTGCAATTAAACTACCATTGACAAAATAAAGAGTGATTCCAGTAAATTTTTGACCAAAAAAAGTGATTTAAGTACATTTTTGACCAAACAAAAAGAGTGATTCCAGTAAATTTTTGACCAAAAAAAAAAGAGTGATTCCAGTAAATTTTTGACCAAAAAAAGTGATTTAAGTACATTTTTAGTACCAAACAAAAAGAGTGATTCCAGTAAATTTTTGACCAAAAAAAAAAGAGTGATTCCAGTAAATTTTTGACAGTCCTTTATCATTATTAATTTTTTCGTAAGTTCTTTACTCTGAGTATCGTAACAAAAAACAACAACATAAAACTACTCACTGAGATAAAGTATGTGTGACTCACCGGTACAAAAACAAGTCGATCATTTGATGGTAACATACTTCAGATCTCTGATCTTTAAAGATCATTAACGTTGTATTTGAGTACTAGCTGGAGTACCCGTTCGTTGGACGGGTGAAATAAAAACTCGTTTGTAACAAAAGATAGGAAATTGTAGCAATTTACCCCACTAATTAAGACTAGTGACTTTTATGTATTTTAAAAAAATAACATGAGTGATTACACCCAATGAACTTTACAGTTTATGTTATAACAGGTAAAAACATAAACTTGCCCAGTGTCATACAATATCAGGACCGGTCACATCGGTCACTTAAGTGACTGAAATCGAAGAAACCTATGCATCTACTCGCTTTCGCCTCTTACTGACGTTGAATGTAATGCTAAAGTTTATGCAAGGTAGCCGCGTTACACTTAAAACTGTAATGAAATATTTAATAGCAAAATATAACTGCGTATGATAACTTATTTTAAAATTCCCTATTGTATAATAACAAGGATCACTGGCACTCCAGGCTCCTCTTTCTTTGTACACTCAGTTGTACCGCTCTGTCTGAGTAAACTCTATTCTAGCTCCTCCTTCTTTATCTGCCTAATAAAGTCGCCGTTCCTGAGGAAACTCTAGCGTGGCTTCTCTTTCTTTGTACACTCAGTTGTACTGCTCTGTCTGAGTAAACTCTATTCTAGCTCCTTTATCTGCCTAATGAAGTCGTCGTTCCTGAGGAAACTCTAGCATGGCTCCTCTGTCTTTATCCACTTAATTGTACCGCTCTGTCTGAGTAAACTCTATTCTAGCTCCTTTATCTGCCTAATGAAGTCGTCGTTCCTGAGGAAACTCTAGCATGGCTCCTCTTTCTTTGTACACTCAGTTGTACTGCTCTGTCTGAGTAAACTCTATTCTAACCATACCTTCTTTATCTGCCTAATAAAGTCGCCGTTCCTGAGGAGACTCTAGCGTGGCTTCTCTTCCTTTGTACACTCAGTTGTACTGCTCTGTCTGAGTAAACTCTATTCTAGCTCCTTTATCTGCCTAATGAAGTCGTCGTTCCTGAGGAAACTCTAGCATGGCTCCTCTGTCTTTATCCACTTAATTGTACTGCTCTGTCTGAGTAAACTCTATTCTAGCTCCTTCTTTATTTGCCTAATAAAGTCGCCGTTCCTGAGGAAATTCTAGCATGGCTCCTCTGTCTTTATCCACTTAATTGTACCGCTCTGTCTGAGTAAACTCTATTCTAACCATACCTTCTTTATTTGCCTACTAAAGTTGTTGTTCCTGAGGAAACTCTAGCATGGCTCCTCTGTCTTTATCCACTTAATCGTACCGCTCTGTCTGAGTAAACTCTATTCTAGCCATACCTTCTTTATTTGCCTAATAAAGTTGTTGTTCCTGAGGAAACTCTAGCATGGCTCCTCTGTCTTTATCCACTTAAAGTTTGTCATATAAAACAGATTAACTGAGAATGGATAGAACTAAGTAGACAATAACATTTATCATCAATATTTTAATAGGATATTTTGTAAATGCTTTAGAGTAGTGAATACCTCTAGAACAGTACTCTATGTTAGTTATAAGGACTACAGTTACAAATTCTTTGATAACTAGCCGTGATACTGAAGTAACGTCATCAGTCATAATATTCAATGTAAATTATAAACTGCTAACTCGATGTTTTCAACGAAGTGCTTGATACCTTATTAGTTGTCCCCCCGGTGAATCAGTGGTAAGTTTACGGACTTACAACTCTAAATTCGAGGTTCGATTTCCCGCAACGAACAAAACACAGAAAGCCAATTGTGTAACTTTGTGCTGGAACAAACAACAACCGTACATTCTTCGGTATGATATATGATATTTTTAAACTGTGCGGCAACGAATTTAGGCATAGTCAAGATTTAGGCATAGGCGTCCCTAACTTATAAGTGACGACTAGAAGCACTCGCCGCCTAGTCGGCTAATGTTAATCATACAGCCGAATTGACTGTATCTTTAATAATGTTTGCAACTAAAAGTGCAAAGCGTGTTCTGCAGCATCACGAGCACGAACCTTGGATCTCGAGGTAAGAAGCCCGGCACGCTAATCACTAGGCCACGCCCGACTCTGACGAAACCTTCGGAATTCGTTT